GGGGGGGGGGGGAGGAGGTAGCTTGCAGCCACTGATGTATTTTTTTTACAAAGAACAAAGAACAGGAAAGATAATAATTGGTATATTTATTTATCAAAAATGTTAACCAAAACCTGAGAAAACAACACCATGAACTAAAGTAAGGATGTCAAGACAACAAGTAAGGCTCGTTGAATAAGCCCAAAGCACATTTCCCTTTTTATTTGCCCCCCGACACCAAAAGCTGGATACCCCACTGTCCTCTTGAGATGTCTTACTTTAATTGTTTATCTTAATTGTATGTGTATACCAGGCAAGATATGGGACGGAGGGGTACCCCCCTTACCTGTCCAATCCCTATACACACTCTAGACTATTGTTACCTAACACATCCCCCCAGAAGTCTGTGAAGAATTCCTGAGATTCCGATCAAACAATGACCAACACAATGGTAGGAGGTTCTCTCCATCCCATATCTTGCTTCAGATGTGTTTGTGCATGTAGCTCTGAGCTATTCATTAGTCAAATTTCTCTGATAGTGAAAGGTCTCTTTCCAGCCAAATTTGGCTGCTATATCTCCTATTTCCGCTGCTCCATTCTCATACACTTTGAAAAAAATGAAGAATATGGCGGCCGTTCTGCTAGGCATTGTGGGAGATGAGGGTGCACTGCTGGTTGATCCATAATTTAGTGAATGGTGCAATGGTCTAGGGAAATATGCAATTAGTATTGTATTTGTAATCTGGGTCAGTATTCTCTAGTAGACTCGTCTTCAACCAATACAACTTCAGAATCTTGTCTGCCCTGTTTTTGTTTAATTGTCTAGCCTAATTAATGCTGGTGTCTTCCTTCCTACAATCCTACAGGTGTCCTTGCCTTTGATGATGACACTGGTTTCTGGCTGGTACACAGCGTACCTAAATTTCCTCTACCCTCATCTAAAAGCTACAATTGGCCAGACAATGCCAGACGTAATGGCCAGACATTGCTGTGTGTTACCTACAATTACAACCAGTTTGAAAAAATTGGTAAATTTTACATGAAGTAGGAGGAGTTTCATTAACTGGGGGGAGTCAGTTTGACTTTAGGAACTATATACTCATGACTATCAAAGTGTGATGTCACTTGAATTGGGAAGTGTATGTGTGTACGTTGGTTCACGTGTTGGTTCTCACGCTAATGCCTTTTACAATAGCGTGTGATGTACATATATTCACTTTGGTACTCTAAAGCTCTCGAACTTAAAATGTTGAAGACAACAACATTTGAAGACAAGCTAGCAATGTACTGGACCCAACTTCTTGGTGCTATTTAGAAAAACAGTAACCAGAAAAGTTATGCTTACCAAAGTAAACAACTTTGTTAACCGTAAACACTACATGTATATCATGGTGGTGCTTGGCGTGGTTGCGCTTACCATGCATAGAGACTTTTATTGTTTTTTTCACTGCGTGGAGCAAATTTCCCTTCCAGGTCAGCGTATCCTTGCCTTGCTTATACTGCTTTCTGTGTTCGTATAAAATTGAGTGCTTTTTGGAGCGTAAAATTGGGCTCTGATTATGTGTTTTGACTCTCTTTTACTAAAACTCTTTGTATGCATTGGTGTAAGGAAAGATTGATTGAACCGTAGATTACACTTTAAGGTTTGTGTTATTTCTCTCAAGTTGTTGTAGAGTTGTTTATGAAACTTCTACAGCTAATCTTCATCAACTGCCATTTACTGGGCTCATACTAACAATTAGACATAGTTGAACTAGACATCTATTCCAGGCACAGCTAGAGTTAAACCCAATAGAATAATCTTGCTTTTTGTCATTGATTTCAAACTTGTTTACACCAGGTCAGCAGTTGAAGTACAACTATCCTTGGGTCTATGACAACACCATCCCTCCTGATTTGGTTGGCCAGACGCCCAGCATTGTGGATTTGGTGAACAACATACATGTAACATCCCCTCCATGGAATTGTCGATTGAATCTGCAATCTAAAAATGGGCAGACGTTTGTCAGCTTTAACAAAGCTGGCAAATGGGGAAAAGGTGGGTATAGTTCTCCTTCAAGGACATGAATAAAGTTTAGTATAAGGAATGGGGGTTAACTCAAGTCAACAGTAAATTTAAGTGATTTTGGAAGAACTTCATCAAGAAGTTGTGAGGTATATATCTTTTTTATTGTCTATTATACTTTCAGGTTGCAAACATGTTAACCTACTTCCCACACAAGATGGAGGATAAGTGTGCAATGGTCCTTGAATTACATACAGAAACATCAACTGAACACCTCAACTGAAGAATTTTGATCTTTCAGTTTGTTTGAAACTACATCTCATTCTCAGATGAGTTTTCTACTTTACCTTTACTACTCTATGCCTCGAATATATCATGTTTATTGATATTTCCACTTTCCTTTATTAGATCTGTATGCAGGTTGGATTGCTCTCGATTTTAACAGTGGCCTGTATGTTGAGACATGGCAGAACGGGGGACGCAATCTGAACTCTTCTTGCATTGGCGGCCTTAATGTCTACAATGTCAAGCAAGTGAATCTGAGTGGTGGAAGCAATTTCAAGGGCACCAAAGATCACTCCAAGTGGGCAGTGGCTACCAAGTCTGGCCTGATATGGACTTGTTTTGGCGGTATTAATCGACAGGTAAGTCTGCCATAACATCATCTCATCAAGCTTGACTTGGCTTACCTCAGCAAGTCATTCATATCCTATATCCACTTGTTGCTGGGTGGGGAATTTGAAGTTGTATGATGTAAAACTGGGAGATTTTCAATACTTTCTGTTTTCAAAATTCTTCGAAAAAATCATAGCTTCATTCCCTGGACGTTTACACCCACACGAATGACTGTCTGGTGGCTACTTTAATCTTACAGACAACATTTATGGATGCCCAAGTATTTCAGCCAGGCCTGCCGCCGTGTAAAAAAGAGCCCAGATTGTTCGGTGTTACGTAATTTTCTTTTGTTCATGAAACTGGCACGGTGCACTACTGACCTCTTTTCAATGGGGGCAAAATTAGCGTGCAGGGGTATTGTAATGCTCATCGCTGGAGCGCTTTTGTGCCCTGTGGTAATCCGCTTGTGCTGAATGTCACAAACAGATGTTTAATTTCTCAAAATAAGTCCAGATTTCCTACGCTATTGGCAACTGAAAAAATGTTGGCATTTCCCAGTAGCTTGGTCTTTTGTTCCGACTACAGTCTTTTGTTACAAGGTCCAGCTCTTTTGCCCGGTTTCAGGCTCCCCGGTTTCGTGTATAAAGCCTGTTTGTCTCTGAAACTCGCCTTCCCGGCAGCATATGGATATATATGGTGTGTAAGATGTTACGTTCTCTCTCTGACAATATCACATGTTCCTGTTTTCATGATAACTCTTATGGACACCTGTTCTTTTGTACTGGCAGACCTCTCAAATGTATCGTGGTGGTGGCGCGGTCTGTTTTGAGAATTCAAACGTCCACCAGACCTTCTATAATGCTGTGGCTGAATACGAGCCGTGTTAAAGTGGAGTCGTAAACCTCCATCGCTTGATCTCTGAGATGACACTTACATCCCAATCTTGTGTTGTTCACTTTAAGGGGACAAAATTTAAGATTGATGAAATTTGTAGATGATTTTAATGCTCAAACTTTTATGTTGAATTATTACTTGCCATTTAATCCTCATTTTTAAAGGAAAATATCCATGCAGTCTTAAGTCATGGGATTTATTATTATAATTAGAATTTAGTACAAATTAGTGACACCAAGTCAAAAATGGCCTGAGGTTTTGGACTCGACTAGAGTTCAACATTTTAACCAGAATATTTAATATTTGGAATTGTAATAGATTATGATTATGCTTGCTATCATTAAATGTAATGTTTACTATGCAGACTGTGACAAAATCCAGAAAAAAAGTAGACAATCAGGGTTTGTATCAAATTACTAATGTGCCTAAAAACTTGCTGAAATAATGTCCAGATTCATAAAAACTGTTCAAATATGTGATTTTTAACTTTTGCAAATCTTGTTCATAATGGATGTACATCGTGTGCAACACCTCTATGATTCTTTACAAATGCATTTTGTAAGTTAACAAAGATCTTAAATCAATTTCAAGATGTTTAGTCCATCTTTTTATTTCATTAACAAAGTGCCATTCTCTATTTGTGAAATTACACAGAATTTGACTGGATTATTATGTGGTACTAACTTTCAGAACTAAACCTTAAAAGTTGACCTATAGTCCAAGAAAAAAACAGTCTCTTTGAGAAAAAGGGATTTTAAATTGCTGAAAGTGTTACAAAAATGTGTGTCCATATTTATGTCTTTCACACAAGATTGTAAACAAACTACATATTTCTTCTTTATTATTTCAAAATTGACCCATTATGCAGAAAACAGTTTGTATGGATTTTGCTATGATACTGTTTTGTGTTTTTTATACTTAAGCTTTAAATATGTACTCAGACAACTTCAAAATTGTGATTTCCAGTGTGAATAGATTAAGAATCACATGTCTGTGGAACAAGCATCAAAATATAAATTTTAACCAACAGTATTCAATCAACAAAATGGGTCAGTTCCTAGCAGAAAGGATAAAAAGGTTCCTTACAGATAGTGGATAATCACTCCTTGCCTTGGTTCATAACCATCAGCATTGGTACAACTTTAGGTCTAAATGTCAAGGGGCGCCTGGGCACCACAAGAAAATGAGCTACAGCTACGGGTGCATAGCTATGTAAAATCAATGGAGATGATTCACAGATTTCAATTGGAGGGTGCACCTGGAGTTAAGGGCATCTTCCGGGGCCCGTGTCCCCTCCCCCCATTTGTGTTGAATGTTAAATGTTATCAAACATTTTGATTTGCATAGTTTGCCACTATTTTATATCAATTACTCAGCCAACTGAACTGGTTCTGTTGTGATTCGAAGTTACAAATGACGAAGAATGACAGGTGTAAATTGGAACATGTGAAATGTTTCAACGTAGTAATTGCCAGGAAATTAATTTTTTTCTGTTCATATTTCAGAAAATTCTTGTAATAGTATTAACTGTTAGTATTAAGTTGTGTATTATGTTGTAGTGAGTGTGATGAATATTCATTGTAATAATATCAAACATTTATAAGGAGCACAGTATCTTACAGTATCTACAATTGAAAGGTGCCAATATATTATCATTATCCCTACTGATTGGGCTTGCAACATCTGAACATTCCTGAACCCATCTCAGCTCCCTGGAGAGTCAAAGCTGCTATATCAGGGTCAAAATGCAAAACATAACTATATCTGCCCTTACAAGTACCCATTTACTGCTGGGTGGAGAAAGGCACATTGGGTTTTTTTGCCCAAGATCACAACATGCTGCTACCAGCTGGATTCGAACCCCCGACCCTATGATCAGATGCTACAAACCCTAACCACATACCCCCAAATCCTGTGCATTGGAGCAATAGGTTTGATGCTCTGATGTGGAGAATCATGAAGACAGCTCAGTTTTCCTTTTTGGTCTGGGGAGAGTTGCTTATAATCTAGTTTCAGGTGGTAAAGCATTCAGCTGAACTTACATCAGTGCAAAGTGTATTGATGAGGAAAACATCCATTTGTCACAGACATCCTGCAGACTGTTGAGAACACCTTTAGCCATGAACAGACAGAAAGCCTGGAGCAAACAGACAGAAAGCCTGGAGCAAATTGACTGTAAAAATTGAGGTGGCAAACCTAAACTATTGACCTTGGCCCTGGACGTCTGTGATAAGCTCCCTCTACTTAATAAACCAAAAGTGATAACATTCAGCACTTGTGTTATTTTTTCATCCAAACATAAGATAGAACAAAAGAGGAAAAACAGAAGTGCTCTCTTTTGATTGATCAAGTTAGCAACCTTACAACAGGTGTAACTCTTTAAATTCAGGATCTCCAAAATTTTGATGTCCTCACACCTGAATTTGACATGGAAATATCATTGAAAATGACTTCAAACTATATTTGATTTCAGATAATTTATAGTACCACTCTTAACATTTGATTTGAACTCACAAAGTTGCACATAAGATGTTAGCAGGACACAAAAAAATTGAACCCAATTTATAGAATGACCCCCTCAGAATTTTTCCTTCAGAATAGATGTTTTGCAAGTGAAATACTTGTACTTAAGATGGAAAATGTGAGCTCTGGAAATTTCTGATTGAATTTGTTTGGTTAGCACAGGACCAGCAGTCACCGACAACATAATGCCATATTGTTTTTATTTTGACCCATTGGAATGCTATGAAAATGTAGCTTTCTGTGGCCACAATTGAAGTGAAAAACTTGAGGTGTTGATTTAAGCCCTGGAATTCTGTGATAGTCATCACCACTTCCTCCATTCAGTGAACCAAAAACAAAACTCCTCAGTACTTGTGTTAATTTGTACCTGAATAGAAGAACAAGACAGGAAAAATAGACGAATCAAATGAAGTCTTTTGATTGATGAAGTTAGCAACCTTACAACAGGTGTAACTGGGTCATTCTCTAAATTCAGGGTCTCCAAAATTTGGGTGCCCATTTTACACCTGATTTATGTGATTTAACATGGAAATATAATTGAAACTGACTTTGAACTATATTTGTTTTTCAGATAATTCGTAGAACTGAATCACTCTTGAAAATCAAAAAACTTCTTAACTTACAAAATCAGATGTCATTTTCCTCCAGAATATATTTTTTATGTGTGAAATACATGTACAGATGAAGGAAAATATGAGCCCTGGGAATTCTTTATTGAATTTATTGTTCAGCATATGACCAGCTTTCACTGACAACATTATTATTGTTTTAGTTTTACCTTTGGAATGCTATCAAAATGTAGTTTTCTGTGGTCTCTAGTATTTTGCATGAATATTTTACTTGATTAATAAATTCTTTACCTATTTAAAGTTCTCAAGTAATGGAAAATATCATGTTCATCGGTTCAAATAACATGATGTTCCAACTGATTACCCTAAAGTTGTAGATCCAAGGCAAAGCATTCCCAAGCATCCCGTCACCATGGTAACAAACCCTCAGTAGACATGTGGCATCTGCAAGAAGCATCACCCTGATCCTGGTCTTCTACCTTGCATTTATGTCTTCCCCGTCTTCAGAACCTTTCACCGCATCAAGCAGAGCAGACCCTAGCAGTCCCAGGGAGTTTGTTGAGCAATTCTTGGAGTGGCTCCGCTGAGTGACGTGGCTTCTTTTTCACAGAGTGGGTCACATTTGGTATTTTTAAACCTGGGTCCTTGCTCTGCAAATTGTACTACCCTGGAGTTTGCATCTATGGAAGTTCCAGGTGTCAAGACAACAAATAAGGCAGGCTGTTCAGAATATGTGTTAAATATTACTTGGCTTGAGTGTTTTGTTAGGAAAGAAAACAGAAAAACCATGTGGGAGTTATCACGCCAATGTTTACCCTTAACACTACGTCTGGGTTACTAAATTCAGCTCTGAAGACAAGGAAAGTTACAGCTGTTCAATATCAACCATAAATTGTTTCCATCATCTGTGTCTTTTACATCAAATTAAATCAAAATGTTTTATTTTGTCCTCATCAAATCACAGATAATTCTTATGTTTGATAATTTCACAGCCAACTTTGTATCAGAATTAAGAGCTAGTTACTAATGGAACAGCTGCAAACAAAAATTAAAGATACTCATTGACGTAGGTAGGCTTTGTCCCATTTCCCTTGTCATATTTCTGTTGGTTACAAGAGTTAATATCTAAAACAAAAATGCAGAAATGACATTAGTGTCATAAATGTTTTGCTTACACTTTATATCCTCTGTGGTTTTGTGGACAAGGATTTGTGCTGTCACTAAGTTTGTCATTTGGTGGGGATCTATGGCACGCACCATGATCCATTCGTTTAAAATGTTGAATATGTCAATGTAGGAAGGATGCCCTGCCTCATTGAAAGTGACAATAATTCTTTGAATGACTTCTATTGGATACTGTTTGAAAGATTGCAAGGAAATGAACAACAAACTTTGTCTTCAAATTCTGTATGTTGGATATACCTGCATAGCTTTGACAAATTGATCAGTGTATCAGTTAGGCAGCAAAATATTTTGCTTTAAAGTTCAATCTTAAAATGGTGTTCTCCTGGATCTTTAATTTAAGAGCTATTTGAAACTGACATTGGTTGAAGTCTTGTGAGAGCATTCCAAGATGTCCACCATGGTGGTGATATTGATGTTATTGGCTGTGACTGTCTTGACTGCCATGATGGGAACCAGTGAGGCAGGAGTGATGTGTATGGATGCCATGTAACATGGCCAGTGAAAGAAGTATGTACTGTTCTTTCGGCTCAAGTTTTGTAAAGCGAATTTTCAAAAGATTTTTGGTAGTATTCTGAATTTTTTTTATTACACTGAAAAATCCTTATCGTCAGATTCCCTTCCTCTTTCATTACATTTCAAATTTAACATCACTAATTCTTGTTCTTGGATATGAAGTCATACTTATTCGGTTTGTACCCTCAATAAGCTGATAGCTTAAGTCACATTATGTATAATTGGTGTTTGAAATTTACCTATCAAATAGGAATTTTTCGTGAACCTTTTGTTTATGTTCTCATTTCAAATAGGACATGAAAAACAAGAAAATGAATGAGAGAACTCACATTCCAAAACTCTGAGTTGACTGTTACCAATTACCAATGTTACCAACTTTCATGAAAGTTCATGAAAGTTCAGATCGTCAACTTTTACTTCAGGCAATCAGGCAATCAACTTCAATCAGGCAATTCTATAAAGAGTAAGGAGGGCTTCATGTTTCGGTCCTAGCAGAATCTTTATTTTGCAATTTGTATTTTAGGGCACTGTAAGCAGTTTACAAAGATAAATCAACTACATAAATTGGACTCACCTAGAAACTGGAAAGAGGAGAAAACAGTTTATTTCCTTTTTCCGTATAGAAATTTGACTTTATAAAATGCCATGGTATGGGCTTTCCACATAGGTAAATCAGAGTTTCCCTTCATAGAAACTCTTCAGTGGTGTTTTGATCATGCACGTGAACTTGTCCCTTGTTGCAGAAATCTAAATTTCAATTACCTTCTCACACGCAGGTTTTGAGAAGGTTGGAGGAGAATATGTTTTCTCTCGTGACATGTTCCAGCAAAATGCCATTTGCAGGAACTCCTGTTTAGACCATAAACAAGTAAATCAACAAAGGATTTGTGCTTCCCTGGGATTGTTGGAAATCCATCTGGCTTTTCAAGTTTCACGTGTGATGCATGTACAACATTTTCTTATAAATACGTGGAGAAAGTAAAACACAGACAGATTGTCCTGTGCCGCAGTATCTACAGCCAACTTGGTAAAGTTGGAAGATTGTGAAGGTAAGAGTCCCTGAATGAATCGCTACCAAGAAGGTTTGCTGACAGAGCTAGGAATTGACCATTTGTTTTACATGTAGGGATATATTCATCATCATTAATCTTCTGTAAAAAAGAAGTGTCAGTTAATATTCATAAAATAGTTTGTGTTGATTGTATTTTAAACTATTCTGCTGAAAATTTGATAGTATTTGCTCCAATCAAAAGCTTTCTTGTTTGTTTCTCTCTGATTATTAAATCTTGTTGAAAGTAATTCCTTTGATTGTAGCCTGTGCGTAGAAATACTTTTAAAAGGACTCATCATATTACAAATAGATATTACCCAAACTGACACAGAGTATGTGCAACTGCCATTTCATTATGCAGTGTTGTTGAGTTTTCTGCTGAATATTTGGAACTAGTTTAGGAGGCAAGAACGTTGAGACGAAATGCCTGTGTGTTCCAGCTTTATTTCCTCCTAGTGGCAGACAACTTGGTCATTGAAAAACAGTATTCAACTGCAACACTGGTCATTATAAACTTTCAAAATAAAGGTGTGTCTCAATCGTTGCATGGAGTAAAAATGTACTTATAAAAGTCCTTTGTTTAAGGGTATTTTGTCATATTTTTACTTTGAAGACGTGATCTTGGTTGCTGCCTTGTGAGAGTTTCACGATGCCAAGCAGTGTGATAATGTTCACATTTTTGGCCTTGACTGTCTTAACCGCCGTGATGGTGGGAACCAGTGAGGCTGTATCCTGTATGGATAACAAAAATAAACCAGTCGATTGGTAAGTCACCTGTCCCATGAAGAAGTGTGTGTGTTTCATTCTTTCTGTTCCTTATTTCAATAATTCATACTTTTCAACTTTTTACAATTCATAATTGTTCTCTTTCAAAGAACTCAGCTGCGCTGATGAAACAAAGGTTAAAAAACTCTGTATGATGGCAGATTTCTGTGTTGATTTATTGATGAAGTTAGTCTTAAATGTTAGA